CCATGCACGGCCTACACCTTGGCCTACCCCACTACTTCCACCCATGAGACGGCTGCGCCGGGGGAAGATATTGGCAAAGAAAAGTCGATAAACTTAGAGCTTCCCAAGCAAAGCCTTTGATGTGACCCGATGTAATTTTCAGGCTCGCTGTGCCTAGGCATGTGCGTCGAAACTTCCTACCCGGATACGCAACGTCAAATGATCCTAATAGCGAAATTCGATCATTTGATTCTTGTTTTTTCGTTGACTTTCGTCGAGGAATTTGATTGGTTGACAGACTACTCGATGACGCGGTGTCTTACGCCCAAAGTCGTTATCGCACAGTTATTGGAAATTAAGTTTTCGTTGCGCAACGTTTTCAGGGCATGTATAACGTAGTTTAAGGAAAAGAAGTTACAAAGTAAACATAAATATTCAGTAAAATAAATCAAAAAGCTGAAAAAGATAACGTGATGTCGTAAATATGTACATATATATGTACATATTTATAGGAAAACATGTTTCAGGATAGAATACAAATCTTACTGTAATTGTTGAGTTTCCATAACTAGTTGCGGATCCTCTGAGTTGAAATAATTAGACCCTCTTACGTTTCGATATGAATTTACGAAATCCTCGTGTGCTGCACGCAACCTCTCAAAATAATCCGCTTCCTCCATTTGACCTTACCGTTGAGTAGTGATCAACCCGACTTTTATTGACGTTTAGCATGATATAACAAAGACGCGGGCACCAAAATCTTTTTGATCAAACATCTAAATTCCTTAAATTTATGACCATTTTATATTTTTCCTGCCTAAATTTTACCCCAAAACAGGGCGTAACATCTTGGATAAGTAACCAGGAGGTGCTAAATGGGAAATGAATAAACAGCGAGGCCCATCTATCGGTTCTGAATTGTCTTGTCCTTCCTGGCGTATTTAAAAAATAAGGATGCCAAACTTCGATTAGTGATGTCTAGCAAAGATCTCTTTTTTGTGGCTATGCGCGTATAGTTAACCATGGAAAAACTTTGAGCACTTTGCAGAAACCCATAATGCAGTCATCGACTAATCATTAAAGCTAACCGTGCCGAATTACATTGAGAAAAAAGGAGAAAATCGTCCAATGAGAAGATGGACTGAAAGGTTAAGAAAGAAGTTATTATTAAGATGGATAGAAATTTAACAGATCTTTTATAGAATTTTCCGCAGTATGTGCGCGTTTCATATTTGGTTTTCAACTAATTCTATTTGAGACGTTCTTCTACTAAAAATCATTGTAGCCTGTCGGCATTCAGAACCAAATGCTTCACAAAAATATTGGCAGCTTCACGAAAAAGAGGAAGACCGTCACAGACACCGCTGATCTCTTTCTCTTGCTTCTTCACCGTCGACTCACCGGGATTCTCCACATATATGTTTATTGCACTCCATTGTCAGAGAAAGAAACTCATATATTTGCTGCATTCCTTTTTGGATATTTTTAGTGCCGAGGACCAATATCAGAAATGTTACAAATTACCCGTCCAAATAACACTTGAATCCTCACATTAATATGTGTCTCAGCTATTAACTCGCAATGAATGTACCGTAAAATATCGTACACGAAACTGCCCATGTCAAAATCAATGTAAAGTTGCGGGGTCTATTACCAGGTCAATTGGCTTAACTGAAAATCATTATATTTTTAAAACGCGACTCTTACGACAAAGTCGGTGTGTTAGAGAATTTGATGAAAATATTTAAAGCATTTGTGCTGTCTATTTGATGGGATATCCTCGGTGAAATAA